GCCAACAGATCTCCCAGCTTGGCATTGCAGAGGCTCTTCCAGCGCCACGACTTGATGACATTCTGGCGAGAAACCCGCGTTCACACTCGACTGTGCTGAGTGGTAGAACAGCGACCGCAGCCCACAACCGGACTAGGTTGGGGTAGCTGGTCTGCCAGTCGATGGTTTGCAAGATGGCCTTCAAACCTGCATGAAAGGGCTGCTCCTCCTTAGGGGCGGTGGAGAGCACATGCAAAAACGTGCGCAGCTCCGCTCGTGCTGCACGCTTCTGGACACCTGCCAAATAGGAATGCACAACCGGGTAGAACGTCAAACGCACAGACTGTGAAGAACGTCAACCGGGGAAACGTGCAGGCACACATGCAGGTCATGGTTCTATGACTGCTCACCAGGCAAGATGGTGTCCCGGTTCTTGGCCTGAAAGAGATGCACGAGGCCGTGCATGTGCTCCTTGCACTCCGCATCTCTTGCCTTGACTCCCCTCGGCCACGAGCGGGGCATGAAGAGCTTCGCCCCGTTCAAGCGCATCAGGTCCCCCAAGCGCAGCTCGAGGTTGTACACCAGCTCGCGGGCGAATGAGCGGCAGTAGGTGTAACATCCTTGCATGTCCCCGCTGCTGGTGGTATACCCTTTCACAGATTCCTCGTGCAGCTGAAACTTGTGTACCCGTCGCTGACCCTCCTTGTCCACCCCCTCCACAGTCAATTTACGGCAGTCGGGCGAGGCGTGCCGCGCGAGGAATGCAGACAGCAGCTCGCTGGTCCCACCACCAAACTGCTGGCCACAGTTCAGGTACCTCTGCTCGATGTAGATGATGGTCCGCCTCACCTGGGAGTGCACTGCAGTGAGGTCAACATGTTGTTAGGGGGAGGAAGGATACATGGAAACAAAAGATGAGTACAAGGTAGATGAAGAAATCTGCAGAGCATAGCAAAACAACTCACATGTCGTTTCTGGAATAGCATGTTGAGCGCGTTGAGTGCCATGTGCACGTCCGCCAGGAAGAACAGGAAGAAATGAAATTTGAACGATGTCACCAGGAGGTACATCGTCGCGTTCGTCTCCTCGAGGAGAACGATCACAGCAGGCAGAACGCAGACGAATCGTGCAATTGCGTCACCGCGACTTAACCATTGGACGAAATGGATCCCCTGGACCTCGAGATTGGTATGAGTGAAGACTTCCTGCAGCTCCTTGAACTTGTGGTTGTAGGGCTTAGATCTGCCGAGATCTTCCGCCACTACGCGGATAACCGCGTCGATAATGCCCAGCTCTGGTAGTGCCTTAGCCACATCCTTTGCAGCTAGAGCTTCCTTGCCACGGGTACAACAACAAAGTCGACCGGTAAGTACACGGGAAGCAACATATCAGGTTCCGCATATGCAACAGCAACGACACCAACACAGCAACATCTTACTTGTGTGCGATGCAGTGAGAGGCCACCACGTGCGGAATCTACAGTCAAAGACGCCCAACGAGGCCCGTGTCGTTGCCGACCATCACAGGAGCCCCATCGGTGCTGATACCCGCCACCTTCTCCAGTGGCAGACTGATACTATCTAGGAATCCTTTGAGCACAGCATGAAGAGATGCTGCATCACACTTCTCAATGGTGAGGTTAGCTAGAAACTCGGTGACGACGGCATGCTCACGCAGAAAAGTTACAAACAAAATCATGTGCTTCCCTTTGACGTGGTCTGTACTCTCGTCGCAGCTCAGACCAATGTATGGACTAGAGTCAATGAACTCTCTCTGGCACGCACGCAGGTATGTCGCTATTGCGGCGGTAATCTCTTCGAAGCCGTACCTGCATGGGCATCAACACATTTGGTTAGTAATAGCTTCACATAGTTCACACACTGCACCGATACGTACTAGACCACTCTTACTAACGTCGTGTAATAGGAACCATAACCGATCTTTGGGAAGCCGCGCGTGCCATGCTGCGCCAGATGAAGGACGAGGTCCATGTACATCTCGATCGGGGCATCAGACTTAGCGAGGAAGAGTGCGCTCTCGAAGAGCGAGATCAGGCGCTCCTTTTCAATTTCTTTCGCCTTCGGGTTGTCGTTGATTTGGCGGTTAGCCTTGAGCGCTGCCTCGGCTATCCTCTGTCTGCGCAGAGCTCGGTGGTGCTTCCTTGTGCGCTGATGCTTCCGCATTGTCTGGGTCTGCACATTGGTCGCCCCTTCTCCTTTGGCGCCGAAGTTGGTGCCTACACCACCGTGCGTAATGCAGACCATGCACTTCATTGACGGGAACCCATATTTTGTCTAACACAGAACAAGCCATGTTAAAGACTAAGGACGGAGTCTATGAAGATTATGGGCCTAAATTTCTCAAAAATCGTTGGTCTCAATTTCTGGACAGAATCGTCGCGCTCACAAGAAACGCCATTGACGAAAAAACGCACTGTCAAAACTTCACCAAATTCAGATATGTTGTACCTCTACTCCGTGGCTACAATTCCCAAGTTGAATCGTACGAAAAGGTGAAGTATTTCTTGAGTTATCAATTTCGGCGCACTAGGGGGTATGCTGCCATAGAATCTTAACTCAATCACAAAGTTCACACAATTTCACAATTCCTACACAAGAGGGTTAGTGTAGCAATAAACCAGGTGGGATGGGATGAGGAGGACGAAAGGGAAGGTCCCAAGAGAGTCCCCAACCAAAGAAACCTCATGCCACACAATTCCCCTCTCCATAGGCAACCCCACTTTTACTTTTGTCACTTTCCCAACCCATGCCATCCACCTTGCCCAACTTGGCCACACTTGCCAACCTGGTTTGGCACCTCCCAACCACTTGGCAGCATCTACAGTGATGTTGACGAATTTCCCAACCCCCAAAATTCTATACCCCTTATGAAGTCAACCCCACAACTTCCCATAGTCACCACAACCAAATATCAAAAGCATACGAACTTCCAACGTTCGTAACTTTCTTGTTCGTGCTCCGATTGAAGCGATACTTGGTTCGTCGGAAAGCTCTTGAGTAGAGGAGTCACTTCAGATATCTGCTCAAGCCAAATAACATTCACACACACTCAGAAAAAACCAAACCACATCAAACACAAATTCTTGCACACGCTCACACCACGCATGCAACGCACGAACATATGATGGGAGGCAGACAGACGTGAAAACATATGATTGCATCACACAACAAGCCACGGGTAATCGTCGGACCACTGTTTGTTGTACATAAATAAAGCTTCCTGATATTTCTCCTCGGCTATGTCGGGCAGTTCTGTTTCAGAAGAAACCTCAACTGCTTTCCCCTTGAGTTTACGCTGTTGGGCCGTTGGGGAGGAGTTCCCCACACCAAACGTTGGCGTAGCTTCATTGGCACCCCACTAGATCTTCGTCTGGAGGTACTTCACTTTGATACCCCGTTTGAGACGTGGGCCTTCGCGAGTAGATCCGGCAGCGATAGGAACTCGGTTCCGTGTGGGTTCGGAAGCGGCAGGAGTTGAAGCGGCAGCAACAGGAGGTGATGCGGCAGCGGCGACATGCGTCGAACACTCGCCCTCCGTCCAGATGGTAGGTGCCTCGGGGCCCGAGGAAGGGAGAACAACGGACGGAACTGCTGGCGAGACTAACGTGGGAGCAGCTGAAGCTCGTCGTAACAAGTCAAGGCGAGTAAGGGCGATTGGCTTCGTGGCAGCATTGGATTCAGGGCCGTCGCCTGCGGGCGACGAATCCGCCGTGGCTGCTCAGCTCTGCCGAGCGTGCCGAGCTTGAGAGGGAAGCTACTCCTGCCTACGCTTGCGCTCCAACGTCACTTTCTGCAAGGGTTCACGACGAATGCAGGAACAGAATGAGGGACAAGATGGGGGTACCCCCTCTCCTGAGCCGCCATGGAGAGGCATCTTGGTCCACCCTGGCTGTCTTTCGTGGCAAGATGACAAGACCCCCACCCCACTGCCATCCTGTATGGCGTGTAGGCGTGGACCCTGCCTCCAGTGGTGTGTTTGTCTGTGTTTTGATTGGGCAGTCGTGAACTATAGAGCTGTTTCGTTGTGATGGCTTCCAGCGCGGCAAAACGGTTTGGCGCGCACAAGTTGTAAGTACATCGCATGTGAAAAAAATCCAAGTGTGTGGGTGGGGTGGGGGGGGTTTCGTGAATCACGGGAAGGTACAGTCTGTACACGAGTCAGTACCATATCCTCCCCCTCACCCCCCCCCCCCCCCCCCCTTCCCCTCCCCCCCCCAACACGCGGTCAAGTCAGTTTCAGTGTGACTAGTTGAGCTATACTGATTCGTCAGTGTAACTTGTACAGAAACACGCAAATGTGTCATACTCATAAACGTCATTCTTATTCCAGCAGAAATGCTTGAAAAAATCAAATAATAAATAACACCAATGACAAAACAACAAAAAAAACCCTAAGCACAAGAACCATACAAACAAATCTAGACTAGAGCATCACAAGCCTAGTTGCTGCCAAATTTGGCAGAAGCACAGATGCCTCACCATGGAGCGCAATGATTGACGATGATGGAATCCTCGCCCCTCTACTTGTATAAATGGAATTGATGGGAATGCCACTATCCACAGTGCAGAATAAGTTACATCAAAGACGAGGATGTTGTTTGAAAGGCGGTACACTCCCGGAAGTGTCTTGTTTTCCAGTCTGCGACCTGGCAAGTGCGGCTGCAGTAAGGCGCCCTCTCACAAACAACGCAGCAGCGGAACTCCTGTGGCCTCGTCTCTGGCCGGCTGCATTCCCAATTGGAGCACATCTGCCGCCCATCAGGCAGTCCAAACAGCGCCGCCCACTCCCTCATAAACGGAACAATCACCTGGTACGGCAGCTGCTCCTGCTGAAACGTGCCGCGCTCAAGAGGCGAGAAGAGGCTTATCGAGCCGCCCTGCTGCACTGGCGTAGGGGAAACGTTCTGGGTGATGGAGACAGTCAAGTGGCAGCCAGCTTGACAGGTGATGACGGAGACCAAAGGGGAGCTGGGCCTGTCAGTAGGTGCTACTGCTTCGCTGTTACCACTGGGGAGGGTTGCTGCTTGTGATGGTTCCATTCCTGCTGTGCGAGCCATGCAGATCTGCTGCGGCAATGCCAGGGGGGTCGGTGGGAGTGCTGATGGGGAATGAGACGGGGGATTATGAATATGGAGGCTTTCGTGAGACTGTTGAGACCTGCTTCTGCCACGGCTGCTGCTGTTGGCAGTGCTTGGTCTGTCACTGCAACCCTCCGCTCCAGCACCCCACAGTGGCATCAATACACACTCATCTGCTTCTGCCTGGCCTTGCCCTCCCTCCCTCCCGCAATCCCTCATCGCGTTCTCCCCTGGTCGATCAATCCTGCTGTTACCCTCCCAAGCTGCCACCTCCGCCACTGAATATCCACTACCACAAGCACCGGACTCACGCAGATCACCTGAGTCACCAAAGTCACTGGAAGCATCAGCAGGGGCAGCGTCATGTACTGATTCGCCATGAATCGCAAGGAACTCCGTGACACCAGCGCCAACCACGGCAGAAGACACCTGGGCGTCGCAGAACCATCCGCCCATGGCTCCTCCTACTGATTGCCCCGGCTGTGCAGCAGTGGCAGCAGGAGCGCCTCTGTTGAATCGCACCTCCTCACTACTGAAGTGGACCCCACCTGCTTCTGCCCGCGCTCGCGCCTCATGCTCGTACACCATTTCCTGTAAGCTTCCACTCAGGCTGTTCAATGTCTCTTCCAGTGCCACTCTAGGAGACTCCAAAGGCCTGCTACTGGGTCTCCCTGGGAAGACCGCGTGGGAGCTGGTGTCGACGTGCTGTTGAGGCGAAACGGACGGTGGAGATGATGCCAAGGAGGATGGAGATGCGGATGAGGTGGCGAGTAGCAGCAGCTTCACTCCCAGGGCCACGTTCTTCCTGACGCCATAGCCGTCCTGCGTGGAGACACGTGGTGGGCAAGGCGACAAGCAGGGCAGCAAGCCGGGGCAGGGTTAGAATAACCACGACGATAAAGGCGCCGCGGATGCCACAAGCCCCGAGAAACAGCTTGGCAGTGAACTCGTCACTGGGCGAGACGTGCGGGGAAAGCGGCAGGAGGAACAGAGCGGAACGGCGGGAGGGGATTGAACGGAATGGGCGGAACGGGATTGGTGGTCTTACCAGGTAAGAGTGGCCAAGCTCTTGCAGGGCGGACCGGCTTCCGCGGACCGCCGCGTGCCACAGCACCTCCGCGGCGACGGCGGGGTTGGCGTCCGCTGCGCTTCCGCCGCTGCCGTGCGCGTTGATGGCGGCGAGCGCGTGCAGCGCGCCCACGTGGCCCTCCTCCGCCGCGCGCACGAGTAGGCACGCGCCCGACCGCGAGTCCCGCTGGCAGTAGAACTTGATCTGCACAATCGCACAGTCGCACAGTCGCATCGTCGCATAATCGTACAGTCAGACTCAGCCATGGCAAGTGGAGACACGAGGCTTCGACGGCGATGCAAGGCCGGGCGGGAGAAACGACGAACGCGCATGTTGCAAGATCTAGAGGATGGGAGAATTGGAGTATCCGAGAGAAGTGCAATAACAGGCTCTACAAGAGCCTGTTACCGCACAGCAGCGCGGCTCGCGAGCCGTGCTACTAGTACTAGTAGTTCTAGGCACGCTCTGAAGACAGACCACAGAGCCACGACCTAAGGAACGATGCTATCAGCAACGCAGCGGGAACTAACTACTAGTAGCAACAATCGCCACGGCACAGCACGGCGTGCCGCAGCCTGCGGCTCGTCATCGTGACGAACTTCCCCTCGTCGCAACTTCCCCGCTTGTCATGAGGCGACAGGACGTACCATGCCCAGCAGAAAGAGCGCGTCCACATTTCCCGCCAGGCCGCATAAGAGCATGAACCGACTCGCGGAGCGGCCGGCAAGGGTTGTGGTTGACGCTGACGGTGGCAACGCCAGTGTTGACGGTGACGGCGCTGGCGGTGCTAACGTCGACGCTGGTGAGGGTTGCGGCGGTGCGGAGCAGGAGGTCTGCGCGGCCCACGCGGCCGGATGCGGAAGCAGCGCGCGCGGCGCCACGAAGCGCAGCACGGTGGGATCGGCCATGAGGCGGTAGAAGCGCCGTGAGCTGCAGGCGACGGAAGAAGGAGATAAGGATGGTGAGGAAGACGAGAATGACGAGATCCTTTCGATGTGACTCGATGGGCTGGTAGGAAATTCGTGATAGGCCGGCAACTGCGTGAAGTCGTGGGAAACGCCACGATGCAGGTAGAGTTGCAGGGGGGAGCACAGCGAGTGCAAAGCGACAGTGGGCGTGGGTTCAGGGACTTACACTGATCGAAGGAACGCCAAGCAAGCGGGATTGGTGGAAGTCGCCACGACTTTTGCCAGTATTGCCGAAATCAGCTCGTCCTGTGGTTTGGAGAGTAGAAAGACAAAGGAGGAGAGCAGGGCGCCGAGCAGGGCACGAAGGAAAAAAATAAGATCCTGTAGAGATTAATGCTGCGAGAGGAATTCAATAGCGATGACTCACTATTCAGGTGACAGACGGAGTCAATTCAAATAAGAGTCAACACCATGGATGGGAGACCTTACAGGTAGAGTGTCGAATGGCCTCGTTCCGCAGCGGCAGAGGTCTCTTGGAAAGGACGCCATGTGGAAGTGGGCAGCAGGGATACGGTCAAGGGCTACCATGAGTTGGAGGAGAATCAAGCAAAGCTGCTAAACCACTACGCATGAATAGCACCAGTGCAAGACTTTCAAGATGGGAGTTGAAGGCTGGTGGAATGTGCGCAGCATCAGAGGGTCAGCACAGAGAGATGACTGGAGAGCAGCAATATGAACGAAGCAGATGAATGCAACAGCTCCCAACCTCTGCTTGGGCGTGAGAGAGTGACATCGAATGTGGAACGTCAATTCCGCCACGCAGCGCGACTGAGCTGGCGCGAGCGAGTCCCCTGGGGCAGGAAGCAGGCCGCTCAATTCGTCGCAGGCGTGACGGACGGTGTCCCTTCGTCTTGCTCGACTTTTAGCGAATAGAATAATTCCACATGGATGGAAAGATGAGCAGAATGATGACGTCAGAGTTCCAGCAAGGAGGAGTTATCATGAGAGTTGGAATTTCCCACCACTCAGAGCAGAGTCTACGTGGAATTTCACTGGATCTGCTTTCTTTTGCTAGATTTTGGTCAGGTTTCATCGAGAAAAGTACAAAAGCTACAACAACCAAATCCACCTGGGAATGATGCAATCTCACCGAAGGGCCGAACGTTCTCGAGAGGCTTTCGTCGATCGCAATAGACCAGCACTTAGTCAGGGTATTTGAAACAAAACATGGGCAGGGGTCAGCAGATCGACATACAATACCAGTTAACGAGAAAGTTGTATAGTATGCAAGTAGCACATGGGCTGCCCAAAAAACTACGGTTGACAAAAACCGCACGGAGCTCAACTCTTCTGTATTGACGTCACCAATCAGCTCTAGATATTGCTTTTGAATCATATTTAGGACCAGGCTTGTATCCCACAGGTAGCCACTGCGCAGGAACTGTAGCTTTACTATGCAGGTACTGTTAGTCACTGTTACAGAACGAGGCAACGCAAATAATTCTCTTCGGTTGGGTGGTCTGTGGGAACCATTCTGGGGCAGCCCAAGCTGTTAATATAATATTTTCCGGGCTTATGAATCAGCTGAAGTCAGGGTGCATGATGAGAGAGAGGAGTCGACACAAATCCCTCTTAGGGCGTGGGCCCAATCGGGTTTGATCGCCTCGAGCAGCCGCGATAAATAATTTCCAGGAAGCCTGGAAGCCAAATTCAGGCAATCAGAGGCAATCAGGTGATCGCGATCAACTGATCGCCCCAATTCGATCAGCCCCGATTTACACACCGATCATAGTCGATTTTCCTTGATCACAGGCGATCACCTGATTGCATGTGATCGGGGTCCCCAGCGACGCTTGCGAATAGTTATACTGTTTTACTTACAGTGAAACGAATTTGTTTCGCCATGTGACGTATGGTCGCCAGTCTCGCTAAAATGGGGACGAAAATGCGAGGTGAATGTACCGCACTTGCTAAGCAGGCGCTGGAACCTTCTTTGAAAAACAATACTGATCGGGCGGCTCGGGCATTGCGATCACAAGCAACCCGATCAGATCCGACTCTATCAGATCAGTCACGATCAAACCCGATCGGGCCCACACCCTTATTGATGCCTTGTCGTTTGTTTCACGTTAGGTACAGTGCTGGGTTGTCTCAATCGATTCTGGTGGGGCGTCCTTGGTAGGAAAAGGGTGCATTTAGGGATGTCGTCATTATTGAAGGACTGGGCTCGTGCCACGAGGGTTAATATTCAGGCCCAATGTTCCACGTCCCCGGACTTTAAAAACCTCTCAATCTCCACCTCTCAACCCGAAGCTAAAGAAACACAGCAACAATGCAAGGACAGTTGTATGGTGGAAGACCCTTACCAAGTTTCTCCACAAGGCAAGGGTTCGAGGTTTTTAGAGAATCTGCAGACTTTGTGTCATAACAGAAGGCTCCCCCCTCTAGAACGTTATAACAGACGACACATGGAAATCGGAAAAATTGCGGTTGACGGCCTGCAAATTAGACGGATCCAGCTCTAACGTACACAAAAAAGGTCAGGGATTGTAAGGTTAGCACCCTAAAGCAATCGAACCCTGTCCACTGCGGATTCTTAAGATCTGTTCTTTATCTGACAAAACGAATACACCACTGGGCGTATGGAGTGGCAGCGGGCGTGTTCAGAGTGGGCGGTTGAGTGAGCATTGAACACCGAGTGTACAGAACTGAAGCAGCCGACCTGTGTCGACTGATAACGGCCGGAATTTTGGAAGGCTGAGCTGCCCAAAAATCTGCCCTTCAAATTGCGTTTGAGGTCGAACCTACCACATTCTGGGCCAGGATTCGCGGCAAACTCAATCAGCACTACAAAGTGCACTATTCTAACTCTAACATCCAATAATCAATACCCTAGTACAGTACCACCCCAGATTGTAGCGCATATGCGATTATATTTAAATCAACCCTTTTAGGGGCGCTTGTAAATGGGTATAGGGCACATAACCGCATGCCCGTATATAAAGGAAAAAAACGACATTTGTTTCAAAGGGTACCAAATTGAAGCCCACATTAAGTTGAACACGTATGCGAAACGTTTTCATGAGTTCGTGCATGAAAAACATGCGAAAACAGCGACGACTCGATTTCTCACACAAAACCCGTCATGAAGCAACGCATCTGCCAGAGCTGGCGCGTAACCTGCCGTGCGGCCCAATCACCTCCGAATGCGTTGCCAACCAGGACCATCTCGTCCGACCTTTCTAGAAAGGGCACGAATATGCCTTGCCACCACAGCATTTGAGGTGTCGCAAACCCTCATATGCAGATTCAGGCAGGGGGTCACCGTCTCACATCGACAAGGACCCCGAGCCGCTCCCTCGAAGGGGTCCCCTCAGAAGTCCATTGTCAAATGTTATATATGTTACAGTTGGTTTAGGCTGTAGTGGGGTAGTTACTATGGGGTACCGTAAGTTAGGGTTTCCTACTTGTACCCAACTCATTTTCTAGTTCATTCACTCTTGTTGATTCTGACATGGTATTACGAGCCTAGGTTAGGAACCTAGGACTGCATAGTCCTAAGGGCCCACCGTTCCGCTAGAAGCGCCCTCGAGCGCCCTACCGCCTTCGCGCCCTCGTGCGCCTCTCTGCTAGTGCGCCCTCGCGCGCCTCTCTTTCTCACGCTGCCCGTGCGCAGCCCACTAGCCGCCCGCGCGAGGCCCATTCTTAGCACGTGCAGCCCGCTAGCCGCCTGCGCGCGGCCCGTTTCTAGCGCGCGTAGGCCGTTAGCCGCCCACACGCGACCAGCACCGCCCGCGCGCAGTCTGCGCCGTCCTCGTGCGGCCCCGCGCACAGCCCACGCGTCGCAGCTGCTTATGCACAGGCCGCTGCAGCCAGCGCGTAGCTCGCTGCCCGCACGCACCTGCAGCCCTGCTGTGCCGCGCTACCCCACCTGCAGCCACTACTGCCCCTGTTACGGCTGCTTTCTGCAGCCCGTGCACCGCTTTCTGCCTACCCGCGCGCCGCTTTCTATCTACCCGCGCACCGCTTTCTGCCTATCTGCGCGCCGCTTTCTGTCTACTCACGCGCCGCTTTCTGTCTACCAGCGCGCCACTTTCTGCCTACCCGCGTGCCGCTTCCTGTCTACCCGCGCGCCGCTTTCTGCAGCCCATGGCTAGTCCCACCGTTCTCGCTTTCGATGCCGAGGGCCGTCCCATTCAGTTTGAGGCTTGGCTCGACGACCTGCACCTATTCCTACTGATCACTACTAAGGACGATATCTCGCTGTACGATCATGCGTCCGGAACCGCTCTTGCACCTGCTGAGACTGCTGACAGTACGGCTCGCTCCCAGTGGCAGACTCGTGATGCTCACGCTCGCCTAGCCATTTGCAGCCACCTGCCGTTAGATGAGCGCGCGCTTTTTGGCCAGCACAAGACTGCTAAGGCGCTGTACGATGCTGTAGTCGCGCGATACTCCTCGCCTGCCTCTGCTACGATCGGCCGTCTCTCGCTGCCCTATCTTTTCCCCGATCTCGCCGCCTTTCCCACAGTCGCAGACCTCATTACACACCTCCGCACTAGTGACACTCTCTACCGAGCCGCCCTTCCTGCTGAGTTCCTCGCCAAAAATCCACCCCCGATGTACCTCGTTCTCTACCACCTAGTCACCCGTCTCCGTGACTCTCTTCGCGCAGTCAGGGACCACTTTCTCGCCCTCTGCCCCACCGAGCTCAACGTTGACCTGCTCGAGAAGCATCTGCTTGTAGCTGAGGCTAGCATAGTTGCTGTAGGTGCCTCTCGTGGCGTGCACAGTTCCCTGAGGCCTCTAAGCTGCCCCGCTGGGCTGATCTAATTTAAAAGAACATTGATGTCTTTGCACTTGACTTTGATGTTATCCTTGGAGCCATGTATGCATTGACTATTAGTGTTGAGGGTGACTGTTACTTGTGTGTCCCGCCAGACCCAAGCATTGCGACCAGTGAGGCTGCCGCTCTAGGTGCTAGTGCGTCTGCTGCCCCAGGTCCTGCTCAGGCTGCTGCTCTAGGTGCTGGTGTATCTACTGATTCAGGTGCTCGTGATTCTGCGCCTTTAGGTACTGCATCTACTGAGGCACTGCACACCTTCACACTGGACGCAGGTGCTTCCTGCTGTTTCTTTCGCGACCGCACTGCCCTAGCGCAGCTCCCTAGGCCTGTTGCTGTCACCTTGGCTGACCCATCCGGGGGTCCGGTCCTTGCGACCTCCACCACTGCCCTCCCTTGTCCTGCTGTCCCGTCCGGCACACTGTCGGGTCTTTACCTCCCCTCGTTCTCTACGAACTTGGTGGCGGGTTCCGCGCTCCAGGACGCGGGTGTTCACCAGTTCACCCCTGCCTACGAGCGTGTGACACACTGCACGTGTGCCCAGACGGGTCGTCACCTGGCTACCTTCACTCGGCAGCCGGGGTCGGACTTGTACACACTGACCACTGAGTCCCCTCAGGTAGCTGCGTCTGCGTCTGCGTCATGTCAGTTGTCCGCCCCCTGCTCGTGTCGCACCCTGTCGCACCGGACGGTCCTCTGGCACCAC